GCATTTCAGCAACAGTGCCTAAGTGTGTGTCTGTATGTATGGCAGATGCAGCAGGATGAATGTAGTCGATGCCAGATGTGTGTGTCGGTGTGTTCTCCTCTCTGCATTCAGCAGGTGTTCTCTCCCTCCTTTCGGAGACCCACCTGCGTCACTGATCATTCGTTACCTAGGTAACAGTGGACTTCCCCATCTCTGTGCTCCTGTGAGTGTGTGTGTGTGCATGTGGGCGGGTGTCTGAGCATGGATTATGACTCATCCTGCTCAGTTCAGAGTGGTTATCCTCACACGCCTGTCTGGGGAACACCCACCCACATCTGTCACCTCCCTGTCTGTCTCTCTTTCACCTCCTATCACTCTATTTCTCATCTCCCTTCATCATCCCCTCTTTTCTACCTCTGTTGCCCAGACTTCAGGATTTGTATGGCTGTTTAATTCAACATAAACACTGTGCACTTTATTGGGTACAAAGCTAATGCAGTTTAAAACTACAGACAATGATGATTTATAAATCAACAGCAGCACAACCTACATCTTCCACAATGATCACACAGGTGACTCATCACCTTCAAAGACAACAAAAGCTGACATGAAGGGATGATTTACTGCATGTATTAGACTGCATTAGTTTTATCTTTGTGTACCTAATAAACTGCACACTTTACATTAATAAAAAAAATGTAATGTGTACCTGCTGCTCTTTGGCGCCTGTTTATTCAAAGCAGGAAAAGAACACATTCATTAGCATGCGCTACCGCAGTCACCATGACTGGGCAGACAGATTAGAATGCCACCTACAGGCAGGCTGCTTGCTTGACAAGTCATTACTGGGAAGTGTTAGGTGATCTTTTTCAGTTAGGTTCAGGCCAAATAGATTTCAAGACATCCAAAAAATGCTTTTGCAGAGATTAAACATTTATCAGACATTGATCATTCTTTGAAAACCTATGGCCTTACCCACACAGATGATTTCACTGATATGTTTCTGTTGATTAAAGTGAGAGTAGAAGCCTGATCAGACAACCTTCTATTTAAACTTTCTATGAGTGTTATGAGTGTTAGTAGATTGATCCCTATGTTGTGATTCAAACAACAAGCTAACCACAACTCCTCTATTGTGCTGTGTATCTGGCTTTGTTTCGTGGGCTTCTTGGTAAATGCACAGACAGAACTGACCAGTCATCTTCATCCTCCCACACCCAACATGTTCAATACTTCTCTGAAGGTAGTCAAGCGCTTTTGGTGGTTTGGTGCCAGCACTGTACAATTATTACATTTTTTTTCCTTGTAGGCGTAGGCAGCACTTCTTTCTTAGTGTTTTTGACAGTTTAAGGCTTTTGTTCACAAACAGTCTTGCTATCAGCATCTCAGTGCTACTGTTTTGGCTGGTTCATTGGGTTTATCTATAACTCTGAAGCAGCCCCTAGAGGCTAAACACATCAATAACAAACAGCACACTCAGGCCCTTTTTGTTCTGAGTACCAAAATTGCATGTCTGCTCCCTAATGGGGCACTTACATACTTCACTTTTGGCCTAATGTCACACCTCAGGGGCAGTTTTGTGGCCCAACTACTGCAGTGCTTAAAGAGGAAACTGAACTCTTATGTTGCACACAAACATTTTCACCCTCTTCCTTAGAGAACATGTACCCAGCTGAACATAGTAGTTAAAACTTTACCAATAGTTGGATCTAAAATGGTGTATGGGCAGCCTGCTTAGAGCATTAGCTTTAGATATCTTATGTGCAATGTATACATAACTGTGTGTAAAATTCAAATGCATGAAAGATTTAAGATGTGAGCTGAAAAAGAGTGATTAGGCAGTAAGACGATGAGTAAGTGAGAGTGCAGTACACATATGGAGCCTGTAGAGGGCACTACTGCCTCTGGACAGCACCAGAAAACCAGTGTAGACACAGGCATTAAATAGAGAGGATGGATTTTTAATGAAACCAATTCCCTTTTCATTCATACACAGCACTGTGTGTGTGTGTGTGTGTGTGTGTGTGTATATGTGTTCTGCAAACCACCATGAAGTTGTAGGATTTGGGCTGGCTAGGGGTTTTTGTCATGAGGGGATGGATGGTGGAATAAGTAGTTGCAAGAAGGACTGGGTGCAAAGAGTTTTCCCTTTGAAGTTTCAGAGCTGTGCCCCGCCTTTCTGGGATGTTATAAAAAGCAGCAGAAGAGATTAATTTTAATGTAAATGTAGCTTTGATTTATTCATAACTGCCCTTGTATTGACCTAGATAAAACAGTCCTACCTCACACTAATACATCGGCTTTATGTTTGTACTTTTTGTCCTGCTGTCTGGGAGAGAGACAGGTGAGCGGGATATATTTAAATAGTAGTGGGTCAGCAACATCAAGGACAAAAGAAGGAAGGCCTGGGATCCTGATTGAGAGGCTGGGTTTATCTCCTGAATTTGGACCAAAGATGGAGATCCAGGATGACAGACTTCTGCTGTGCCACTGAAATGATGCTATACAAAGCAAATAAAAATACAGCAGTAAGAAATTGAAAACAAAATGGCAGTGTAGGGAGAAGGCTTTCAGGCATTTATCTTGTCTGTGCAGGAACCCGCACTACTGCTAATGTTGTACCACACACAGTGAACTACTACTGTGTAACTGATGTACTGTCATTATTGATACTCTTATTAGTGAACTCCTGTTATCTGGCTGATGCTTAGACAAGCTCTGGTGCCACCTAGTGGGCATGAGGAAAGGCATGCGTCATATTTCTGTAATACCTGTGTATGTAGTCTGTGTGAGAGAGATTGAGAGAGAAAATAGCAGCCTAATGCTGCTAAAGAAGGTAGAGTGAAAGAAAGACTTTTCGCTGTTCATGCAGCTGAAATAATTTGATCCAAACTTCTGACCTGCTGCTGACGTTGTGAAGCCTCGAAGCGGAGTCCGATTATTTTTTAATTGCATATGCTTCACCTGCTGCCCTCAAATCTTTTTTAGATCCATACAACATAGACAAAAATACTGAAGAATACAATGGTATTGCAATAGTTTTTAAACAAAGAATCAATATATAGAAAATGCAGGTCATAAATAGTACTACTACTACTAATATATTCACTTTATGTGCTATTTGATTATTATTCATTTTACTGGAGGCTAATTCTGTTTGAAAGTAGCTGTGACTGTCTACATACACTAACACATACTGTATAACACAACACTGCTTATAATAATAGCAGCAGTCTTGGAATCTAAAGACTGTATCCTCTTGAGGAAATGATTGTGATGATTGAATGATGATCAGCCTTTTAGACTGTGAAATATCTTTTATGCAAAGTTGACATTTGGGGCTGACAGTGATGGAAATGTTTCAGAGACATAGATGGGATAAGCACATTTCAGACTTTGATCGTTCCTGTGCAAAAGAGGAAATTAGGTCTTGGTGGTACTAAAGGAAATGCCAGAGTGTCATAAAGACATTAAGTTGAATTCTTACAGGAACAGTGCATTTCCAAATAGCCAAATGAATTTCACACAACACCAAAAAGGTAAAGGTCCCTGCAGCTTCTCTGTAACAGTGCTGTCATAATACATTTTTCTGCAGCTGCTTAATTTGTTGTTTCTTGGTATGATGAAAGTAAAGCCCTGAAAAACAGAGCCAAACCTAACTGTTCTGTATTTTTATTTATTTTTTATTTAGAATAAATCCAACAGAGATAACAGTGGTCTTCAGACATCTATTACAACAGTTAAAGTATAACAGAATACAAAGGCATAGCAACTTTTGGTAGCAAAAAGTGATGATAAACTAGAGAGAAGGAAAGAGAGAAAGCAATAACTAAATCGAACCGAACAGAAACACGAAGTTAAATTAAATACAAACAGAAAATATTAGTAATACACATGAAGGATATCCTGATAATTAAGGCATTGAGCTTATGGCTATTTAAATAG